TATATCCATCACCCATTGTAAGTATTCGTGTTGAGCATCTTTTTCTCCACTTTAAAATTTCTCTTCTGGTTTCTAACTTCTAAACCACACCAAATGTTTTATGTGGATTTATAGGAGGTCTATAAAGGTTTTATTACTTATTATTCATATTCGAAATTCCAAAAGTACTCTTGACATTTTAGCTTGCACTAATAGATGATAGTGAGGGAAACATGAGAAACTGTCGAAATAGAAGATAGAATAACGTATTAAAGGGACAGGATATTTGAAATTAGTAGAAAGTTAAGTGATGATAGACTTTGAAGGAAGCTTTTGAAGGGGCACCAGGACTGCAAGTCGAGGATGCGAATAGCAGTGATGCAGCAATGAGTTAAAGTAGGTCCGATCAAAAATATTTTTGCTAAGATGTAGTTGATTGAGTCCTATCATTATCAACGAAGTCGTAACGACACTGCTTGGCTAAGGGACCAATCTATTTATATATATCCCCGTAAGTACTTAGTTCGGATGCTATTGAGTCACAGCTGGGATCTGTACTACATTTGAATTTGAACATTTGTTTGGCTACATGTTGTTATGAAATTCATGTCTCCTCCCAAACCTATTTTAATATATATATTGTATAGATGCTTTTAACCTTCAATTTCTATTATTTACCGTTTCCATGTTGTCAAAGCGGTAAAAAGTGTATTTCGAACGTTACTCAGTAAAGGAAAATTAGGTCAAGCCAAATAATGGTTGGATGAAGATAAGCGCTTAAATACTAAACTTGAGGTATCTTTATTTTATTGTCAAGATGCCACTTTTATGAATACATTACAAAAATAAGTAATATTTCCATCCCATCGAATTTAGCCCCTTTCATTTGGGCTTATTCATGTAAAGATCTGATCTATATTTAACATACTTCTAAATCTCCGAAAAAGTCTCACTCAGCTGAATCTCGAAATGTCTTAACTTAATTCCAAAGTAATAGACTCTTAATTATTTTAGATAGGTCAATCCTCGAGGCCATCTGTAACATTTGAACAGGAACTTAGTAACCATAAGTCGCTTAAGGTGATTTAAGGACTGGTAATCGAATTTTCCCACAATGAGAGGAGTAGACCTCATGGGGTCAGTGAATTTAACTTAACCTTGCCTTGCTAAATTCTATCTTATCCAGGTTGGAGTTTAGGTTGAACTTTCCCTTATTCTTATCAATAACCCTAACGAAATTCGATATCGGATCATTAGTATCGTTGCTACATTCCCACTCCACTATACATAGCCACTGATGCTACTGGTTCACCTGTAAATGTAAGCTAGGCTTCTGCAAATCAAATTTAGAATAGGATTTTCGATTAAGCAGAGATTTAATTGTGATTGCAATCGACAATTTTTTTATTTGAATAATTTTATAGACTCTCATTAATTTGGAACTAGAAACTTAGCTTAAGTCGCTTAAGTTGATTTAAGGTGACTAATATCTTATCAGAGAATTACTGGGATAATTGAAAACCACTAACATCTAAAATAAGTAACTTCCTTGGTTGCAATGGCAAAAACATGTTTGCTCAATCTCAAATTCCACTATATATAGGATTTTAGATATGCCTGGCTTGTCTTAATGTCAAATCTGCCCTGGTATCCCACTGCACCAGCGGCTGTGTACTGAAGAGGTAATGCCGCCACGATACTCACAACATAGTATCGAATCCCACTGTTGTGCTGAGGAGACCTGGACGATGTTGAAACTAAATTCCTGCTTTAATGAGAGAGACTTTTGACAATCAAAGCTAAGTGAAGCCAGAGGTATAAGCACCTCATTATGAATAAATTCACTTATCCGTTTTATTATCATACTAAGAAACATTGGGTGGCTAAGTTCTCCCTCTAATTGCACAAGTTAACAATGTTTTAATTACTTCCCTTACGGGATGGCAACAAATAACTGTTTATAGATCAGTACGTTATCAGCTCTAATGGTAAGCGCACTATTTCGAATCGAAACTTGTTTACCTCCGAACTTTCTGATTGAGTATTGGTATCCCGCTGAGAGTGGTGCTGCGACATTAAGGTAAGACTGTAGTATACATTGAATAAGATTGTTTTTTTTTAATGCAGAGTTGAGCGATATTAAGCCTTTTCTTAGATTCGTTTTTGTATTTTTCATTTCTGAATACCTGAGAATGATTTTGGATGATGAAAACAATACTATGGTAGAATAAATACACAAAATATCTTGCGTACCACTATGAAACAATAAATATGATATTAGTATATTTACAACCAGCTGATTATCTTGGCTCTCAGGATTATGTATCTCTAGTAGTACTCCTGACATAAGAACAATCCAAATTCAGAAATTTTGATTACTTTGTCCTGTGACTATAACGCTCAGTTCGACGAACAAAAATCTGGTGCAGAATTTCTAATCACCTCGAAACTATCTTGTACAGCAATTTTAAATTTTAAAGGGATATTTCGAAATCTAGTTTTACAATTATATGACTTACTTTCCTGATACCTTTTATAATCAGCAAATTCGAGCACAGACTTGCAAAGTGCCTGGTGCCAATCGGAACACCAAATCCAAA